CAGAGGAGGTCCCCAAACGCAGCAACAGGTGCGCTCCCCTAATATCAACGCGGGCATAATTGGGCCATTACATTCTTCTATTGGCAATTAAAGATGGCAAATAAGAGCCAAGTGCGCGGCAGCTTCTAGCGCGCCGGCGAGTCCTCTCCTCCCCAGGGAAGCTGAGAAGGTCCCGGAGGGCTGCTGCTGCCCCTGCCCACCCCGGCTTCCATGGCCCCCACTTTACCCGCGTCCTGGGGCGGCGGGGCGGCCGCCGCTGCCTCCAGCTGGGCGCGCACTTCCATCTTCCGCCTCGGGCGCGGCCGCCGCCGCTGCAGCGCAGGGAGCTTTGTAAACCGCCGCGCGCGCCGACGCCAGGCAAGCTCATCAAGGGCACCTGCGCGGCGGGAGGAAGCGGCGGGGCACCCCACATGCGTTGATTCCGAAGCCGGCTCGCCAGAGTCTGTGCCGGATTTACCTATAGATATACAGGGCACCAGTGACCACTCTCTTGGGGGCTCCCAAAAAACTAAAGGTAAAAAAAACCCTGGATGTACATTTCCAAAATAGAAGATAAATAACAAATAAAATAAAACCTACATACAGCAACAGTGTTTTGTGTTGTGTAGGCTCCTATGGTGTGAGTAACGTGTGAATAATGAGCCTGCTAGCTTGCGCCCTAAAATATCACTGGTTTGCTCATTTCTATATACACTGGGGACGCGGGTGGCGCTGTGGGTAAAACCTCAGCGCCTAGGACTTGCCGATCGGGGGGCGCTCCTGTCGCTCGGTCCCAGCGCCTGCCAACCTAGCAGTTTGAAACAGTGGCGTAGCGTGGGTTGTCAGCACCCGGGGCAAGGCAAGTAATTTGCGCCCCCTAACCCGTGGATTCGCGCCCCCTAACCTGTGGATTTGCCCTAACCCCAGATGTTGCGCCCGGTGCGGCCGGCCCCCCTGCACCCCCCACGCTACGCCACTGGTTCGAAAGCACCACCGGGTGCAAGTAGATCAGTGTTTCCCAACCTTGGGCCTCCAGCTGTTTTTGAACTACAATTCCCATCACCCTTGACCACTGGTCTTGCTAGCTAGGGATGATGGGAGTTGTAGTCCAAAAACAGCTGGAGGCCCAAGGTTGGGAAACACTGAAGTAGATAAATAGGGACCGCTTACTAGCGGGAAGGTAAACGGCGTTTCCATGTGCTGCGCTGGCTCGCCAGATGCAGCTTGTCACGCTGGCCACGTGACCTGGAAGTGTCTCCGGACAGCGCTGGCCCCCGGCCTCTTAAGTGAGATGGGCGCACAACCCTAGAGTCGGACACGACTGGCCTGTACAGGCAGGGGTACCTTTACCTTTTATATACAGTGGACGCTTGGGTTGCGAACGTGATCCATGCGGGATGCACGTTCGCAACCCACAGCCTTCGCAACCCGCAGCTGCACGTCTGTGCATGCACGGGTTGCGACTCGGCGCTTCTGCGCATGCACGACTGCCGAAACCCGAAAGTAACCCGTTCCGGTACTTCTGAGTTTTGGTGGTCTGTAACCCGAAAAAATGCAGCCTGAAGTGTCTGTAACCCGAGGTACGACTGTATAGGGTGCCTACATTCTGCATGGACTGGTTGCATGGCGTGTAGGTCCATAAATTACCATATAGCGTATATTCAACACAAAAATCAGTGACAATTTGTTGTTGACAAAGGACAGCTGGACATATAAAGGACCCCATGACCTCCAGCAGCTTAGGGCCTCACCAAACCTAAATCCGGCCCTGCCTGGACTGCAACGCCCACCCCTCCCTGACCATTGGTCCTGCTGGTGAGGGAGGATGGAAGTTGTAGCCCGGCCAACATCTGGGGCCCTCAAGGTTGAGAGAAAGGCTGCCTTTGAGTGTCGGGCCAGAGAGACCAAAGTTCAAATCACTTGGGCACTGCGTCTCTCAGGGTTGTTGTGGAGATGAAATGGGGGCGGGGGGGGGACGGGACATGCACAGGCCACCTTGACTTCCTTGGGGGGTGGGGGAAATATGAGTATAAGTGTGATCAATGAAATAAGTCATGCTGTGAGGATTTCTCCCAAGGAGACCACAAATCCTTTTTCTGTTTCCAGAAGGGAGAGGTTCGTGAGGTTATGAGACTTTTCTTCACCATTTTTTTTTCCTCTGATAAGGAAAATGTTCAGCATTAAAAAAGCAATTAAAATATTTAGTATTGGAGCATGTGGAACTGCTGCCATCCTGCCTAGATTGGCTCCAATTCTGCCAAGGGTGTGTGTGGGGGGGGCAGAATTTCAAATACTTGGAGGGTAGTTTCCAACAGAGTGTGTTTTGGAAAGGAACATGAAAAACATAGCAATCTCAAAGCTGGCAGAAGCAGGCTGGACACCAATTTATCTCCATGTATGTTCTTTCCTAAGCAGCCTCCCTCCTTTCAACATAAATTCCACCTTCTTCTTTCAACGAAACTTCTCTGTAGTGAGGATTTGCCCCCAGTTCAGAGTTTGCTAACTCCCCTGACCAGATACCAACTTGGATAGTGCTTGGGCACTGTTAATAGTTTAAGAAGCCACCACTTATCATTTAACACAACTGCTGAAAGTGCTGCATCTGACAGGGGTGAAACTAGACCAGGGGTAGGCAACCTAAGGCCCAGGGGCAGGATGCGGCCCAGTCGCCTTCTCAATCCAGCCCACGGAAGGTCCAGGAATCAGCATGTTTTTACATGAGTAGAATGTGTCCTTTTATTTAAAATGCATCTCTGGGTTATTTGTGGGGCCTGCCTGGTGTTTTTACATGAGTAGAATGTGTGCTTTTATTTAAAATCCATCTCTGGGTTATTTGTGGGGCATAGGAATCCGTTCATTATTTTTTTCAAAATATAGTCCGGCCCCACACAAGGTCTGAGGGATGGTGGACTGGCCCCCTGCTGAAAAAGTTTGCTGACCCCTGAACTAGACTTTAGTTTACCTGGGTCAAAGACCCAGTTTTGCATCCCTTATGCATGTTTGCGTACACACATGCACAGGCAAGGAGCCTCAATGATGCCCCTCTGGAGGCTTCAGTTGGGGCAAAAAAAACCCAGCTAGCCCTCCCTGTCCTCCTGTAGCTCCAGCTCTGCATGAGGTCACCCCATTTCTTGTTCTGGGGTCAAGAGGTAGTGCGTATCACTAATCCACTGACTCCCATTGTTTGAGGAAAGAGGCTTCCTGACACTAAGGTCATGTTTGCAAAATGCAATATAGGGTTGTATTGGTTTGTTCCACTATAACTATCATTGTTCCTCCCAAAACTGTCATTGGGGAGAAGCTATGGGGTCCTGTTGCTTTTCCCCATAGCAGATGAAAAAGTAGGTTGGAAGGGCAATTCTGAGCTGAAAAATAACCAGAGGGAAAAGAATAAAGCAATTTCCTCTGTGTTCCCTTCTTGTACTCAGACGTATTGGCCGCTTTGGCTTAAGAAAAGCAACATGGAAGGAAGAATCACAAAACTCCAAGTAATTTGCAATTTGAGCTTCAGTTCCACCAACCTTTGTATAATGAAGAGATCTTTAAAATGTTTGCAAAGCCAGTTGTGCAAAAACCTGTTTAAATTTGTTGGTACCACCATCCTTTTAAGCAGCCTCTGAGGAAAGAAACTGCACATTTGGAATATTTATAGGCATAATGTGTTTTTGGATTGTAAGTCTGTTTAAGTGATTTGTGGGCCACGCCCCTGTGTATCTGACTGCCAAATATTTATACTAGGAAGAATCTGGGTTTTTCTGAAGGCAGATTAAGCAGCCTCAGGCGTCAAGCCTATGTAGATTTAACCAGGCCTATGCCCTTTGATTTCAGTGGTCTAAGGTGTGCTTGATCAGACCATTACAAAAACAGAATATACAGTTACACACACCAAGCCTGTCTCAGTCTTTTTCTACCTTGCTTCTTATACAGCAATATCTTGAATGGCTGCTGATAAAGAACATTGCTTTACATCCTGAGTTATGTCTTGCATGGTCTCCACAGCTGATGGCACTTCCACAGGAACATAGTTTAAGGGAGCTTCCTGTTTGTGTACCCAGTGCATCTATCATGACTGTCAACCAGTGGCATAGCGTGGGTTGCTGGTGCTTGGGGCAGGCATGCGCGTCAGGGGGTGCAGGATGCAGAGGGGGTAAACGGAGCCTGCCGCAACAGCCCAACCCTCGTCACTGAAGTTGTCGGAGCAGACCCCCCCCTCCACTGGAGCCAAGTGGGGCCGTGCTGCACCACCTGCACCCACATGGGGGGGACCCGACTGGACGACATGCCCCTTGGTGGGTGAATCACCCCAATGCCTGCAGAGAGGAGTGCAGGGCTGTGCGGAACCGGGGCGATGGTACAGGAAAACCCCCTCTGCGAGTTAGTTTAGCTCACCCTCGGCTTCCAAGTTAAGATGTGGAAAGGTGCTGTGGCTCATCTCCAGATGAGAGGCACGCTCCTCAAAATTTTGCACCCAGGGTCACAGGCCCTCTTCTCCCACCTAACCCCCATGCCCTTGCTGTCAATGGGTCACAGGTGTGCACCTTTCCCATCGTATGCTACTTGTAAATAGCAGGGATTGAATCTTTGACCATCTGTATAGAAAACATGTACCCTCTGCCCTTAAAAGACGCAGTACCTACTGGCAGGCACCAAGCAGTCATTTATCAGTTGTCCCTGCTGGAGGCCCCCAGCAATCTGACCCATTGCCTTCTCTTTGTAATGATAGATTTTCTCTGGATTTCTTCTCCTGTTCCTTTAATTACACACTGATTTGCAGAAATTAGTAGCAGGTGAAGCTTTTCTGACGTGGAGACAAAAGGTGTGAAATGCTTTCACCTGCCGAATTTGTGTGTGTCAATTTACTGTTAAAAGCACAGGAGCAGACCAGGAAAAGTTGGCAAACTTTTTTGTAAAGCAGAGTTCAGGGGAACCTGGCTCCCTTTCATTCATATATATGTATCATATCTTCTTTGGTAAGAAGTACGTGGCAATTAAAATAAATGAAGTATTTCAAACAGAAAAGCCAATTTCCATGACAATACATATAAAATATATTTTTGCTTTTCTCTAGCATCTTCTTTTTGGGAAGGCTTCAAAGCGTTTGGGAACATTATTAGCTCCACACCTTTCTGTGAGGTAAGTCATAGCCTCATTTGGCAGAGCAGAAACTGAAGCAAAGGCCCCAAGCGAGGAGTTCATGCATTGGAACAACGGCAGTGTCAATAATTGGTTCCCAGAAGTCCTAATATCCAGTTTCCAACTGTATTTCTTATTTGAAACCATCAAGCCAAAGCTAATGCAGGTTTTTTCTTCTCTTTTTCCTCCTCTGGTGATGCACAGGAAGAGAATCTTTCCACCAAGTCAGTTTTCATTTCTTTGGTACGTACTGTGTCCTGTATTGGTTAAACATTTGTTGATGGCGTCAAAGGAGGTTTCTCTTCCAGAAAACCAAAAACAGCAATGTACTGTTGGGTTAATGGAGCCACAATGGAGACGAGCGTAAAAGTGTTTGTCTTTGGGGGAAACAGGGCCCTATCTCTTATGAAAGACTTGTTGTTTTGCATACTTGACACGCTGTTCCTCCTTCAGATTCATCTGGCGAGCTTGCTTGCTGGAGATTATTTCCACGTGATCGGAAGGGAACCAGCCTTTTTCCCCATCGGAGAGTTTCACTCCTTCAAACCACCCTGCAGAGGGAGCAGACAGGAAGGGTGAAACATTCAGAGAACCATTTAGGGAGTTGCTACAGAGGCTTCCTCAACCTCGGCCCTCCAGATGTTTTGAGACTACAATTCCCATCATCCCTGACCACTGGGTCCTGCTAGTGAGGGATCATGGGAGTTGTAGGCCAAAAACATCTGGAGGGCTGAGGTTGAGGAAGCCTGGTCTACAAGTTACCCTGGTAGGCTAGCCATCTGGGTGATACAACCACATTTGTACCTAAGGTGCAGCAACTCGTGGTAAGATGAGATTGCCCTAGAGTGAGAGACCTTATTCTGGTGTAGTTTAGGTCTCAGAACTGACTGACTGCACCATCCTCCGAGGTGCCAATGTGAAATTTTAAGAATTTCCTGCCTTAGCCAGATTTCTGATGAGTGCGGACCTCTGAATCTTCATCTCCAACTCTAACCAATCTAAGGCTGTTTCACTAAGTGGAACTTAGTTCCAAAACAAACAGAAGACTGGGTTGTATATATGTTACTGGCATTTGTTCACATTTAATCACTTGCCACCCTTGATTCTTTGTCCTCTCCTGCTTTCTCTGTGGTCTTTCTCACCACCAAAAAGGCACATTGTTAAGCTCCGCAGGGACAAGAATAAAAATCTATAATACATGATATACACTGAACAGTTAAGTGTGTTTTAGCTCGTCATCTTTACCATCCTAACAAGTACTGAGTGGAATTGAATGCAGTTCCGGAGGCCTGGCCGTATCCTGAAAATTCCGTAACTGGAGGACCGCTTCTGCGCATGGTGCCACAGAGCACTTCTGAGCATGCGCGAGTAGCAAACCCACTTCTGGGTTTGCCGCGGCCGTAACCCGAAGATTCAATAACTTAGAGTTTACACAACACGAGGTACGACTGTACTCCTTTGCTTCTCAGTTTTCTGAGAAAGTGTGGTCAAGTTCATGGCAGGACCAAACATAAGGCTGGCAAGTGCTTATGTGCAAAGAGTGATAAGTTACCACTGTCTGTCTTCATGCAGTGTGTGTGGACCAGGGCAATTCAGAAGAAAGCTCCCATTCTCTGTCTCTTATCTATTCTCGTCTGAAAAAGGAGCAAAACACCGTCTATCGGGAGATTTCACGTGCTATCAAATGAAGTAATATCTGGATCAAGCTATATGCTACTCAATGGATGGGTGATGTTTCTCCTGTGTCTGTTATTACTTTTAATACATGGACAGCTCTCATTTGATTGCAGCAGTGACAGGAAGGGTGTTTAACCCTTTCCCCACAGGCTGTTTCCCTGATGCCAAATTCTATCCCTGCTTTCCCACTTGAGGTGGACCGGGGGTGGGGGAAGCTGCCATGTCAGCACAGGCTTTTGCACTGCTGGGTGAAAATCAGCTTACACACAAGGAAAGCAGTATTTTGCATTTTTAATTTTTCAACAATGTAAGCCATTTCCTTTTTTTTTTATGAAAAAAAATATTTATTAGAGTTTCCATTTTTTTACAAACAAAAAGAAAAAAAACATAAAAAAGAAACATTAAAAACACATAAATTTCATCACTTATTTTCTCATAACATATTTCCCTGACCTCCTCATACCTCCCCTTCTTGTATACCCAGTTCAAATTATTTATGCAACAAATCCTTATCTCAAAGCATTACAGCTTAAAAAAGCAAAACACCTTATTTTCTCTCCAACATCTTAGATTATTATAACTTTAAATTCTTACTTATAGAAAGAAAACCATTTTATCATATTCCTTTATACCATTACAGCTAGAAACCACTTAATTTCAACCCAGCATCATTCAACATTCCTTAATTTTACAGTATTTTTGTAAATAGTCCTTAAATTCAATGTAAGCCATTTCCTAGTTCCAAAGGAAACCACCTTCCAGGTCGTAGTCACCCCATGACATTTTCAGCTCCCAACTGCCCCGTCTCTTTCCTGCCCCTCACAGCACCTTGCCACAACATTGCCAAATCCACTTACCGTCACTACTTTGCTGAAGGACCATAATTATATCTGCTTTCTCCAGCGCCAGCTCATCATTCTCTCGGGCTTTGTATGACCTCACACACTGAACCTGAAGTTTGTCTAAGAGAGCTTGAAGAGAAAGAATATCGTGATTGTCAGTTACCAGGTGTGTTGTTGTTGTTAACCATTCAAATGTGTTGGGTTGTTCTTTTTCAAAACAAGCAAGCAAAGAAACCTAAAATGTACTTGAAAAAAATAAAATACTGAATTCGTCATTATAGCTTGGGCATCTCTTTTTTATTTTGAATAAAACTTTCTGTACCATTCCTGGTTCTTCAATTTTGAGATTTGTATGTGCAATGTAAACGGAGTCTCAACTTAATTTAACTACATATCCAGTAAAAATTCTCACCCTTGATTGAAGGAATGCATATATTTCTGGTTTTAGTTCTTCATATGTAAAGTAATGTGATGGGCACAATGAAATAGAGTCAACCACCCATCTTCTACTACCCTCCTGGAAAAACCCCACCCCACCCTCCCACAATATATAAGAGTCTGGTGACTTCTGTTTCAGTGTATCTGAAGAAGTGTGCATGCACATGGAAGCTTATACCAAGAATAAACTTAGTTGGTCTCTAAGGTGCTACTGGACATTTTTAAAAAATATATATATAGTTCGTGTTGCCGCAATGTTAATAAAGAACCTGCAGCAGTAATAAGCACCCAGGATCAATGTGTACTGTATTTTACTTAACGGATTCACAGTGGTACCTCAGGTTAAGTACTTAATTTGTTCCGGAGGTCCGTTCTTAACCTGAAACTGTTCTTAACCTGAAGCACCACTTTAGCTAATGGGGCCTCCTGCTGCCACTGCGCCGCTGCTGCACAATTTCTGTTCTCATCCTGAAGCAAAGTTCTTAACCCGAGGTAACATTTCTGGGTTAGCGGAGTCTGTAACCTGAAGCATCTGTAATCTGAAGCGTATGTAACCCGAGGTACCACTGTATATACCATTTGACATGGTATATCCAAGTGGTAGGCAGTACAAAAAGCACAATAAAATATTAAACAATGAAAACTCAGTGTAAAATTAATCATGAATAAATATAAGAGTTGGAGTCACACTTCTAGAAACATCTGAGAAAAAAGAAATGCTTTGAGCAAGCATCTGATTGTTGATACTGTCGGTATTTGCTTGCTATTGTATACAGTGGTACCTCGGGTTAAGAACTTAATTCGTTCCGGAGGTCTGTTCTTGACCTGAAACTGTTCTTAACCTGAAGCACCACTTTAGCTAATGGGGCCTCCCGCTGCCGCTGCTGCACAATTTCTGTTCTCTCCTGAAGCAAAGTTCTTAACCTCTGGTACTATTTCTGGGTTAGTGGAGTCTGTAACCTGAAGCGTCTGTAACCCGAGGTACCACTGTATACGTAATACCCGTATTATGTGAGCTAGCCCTTTGCAGTCTATGCCTTGGGCAATCTTACCAGGGTCATCCAAAAGGTCATGTTCAGCTTGCTGTGGCATAAGAGCAGAAATCCACCTCAGCTTCTCACTCCTGGGGCAGAGGGGAGAAAAGTGAAAAGTACTGAGGAGAGAGGCATTCCAGGTTGTACGCAGCAGTTGCTGGTGAAATGTCAAGATGTGTAGTAGTATACCGTATTTTTCGTCCCATAGGACGCTCCGTCCCATAGGACGCACCTAGTTTTTTTGGGGGGAAATAAAGAAAAAAAAATCCCTTTATTTCCCCCCCAAAACCAGGTTGGGGAAACCGAAACAGGTTGAGGAACAGCGGGATGGCGGTGCTGCACCTCCCTGCTGTCCCCCAAGCTTGTGGGGCTGGCCGATGTCTGCCCGGCGCGCGGGGCGCTCTGCTTCAGGGTGCCTCTCGCGCCGGGCGGCAGGCTGCTAATCGCAGCCTAGACAGCCCTGTGGGACCTTGAGTTCCCTGCAGGGCTGCCTAGGCTGCGGATGTGTTCCCGAAGCCTGGAGAGCGAGAGGGGTCGGTGCGCACAGACCCCTCTTGCTCTCCAAGCTTCAGCGAAAGCCTGCATTCACCCCATAGGACGCACCCAGATTTCCCCTTCATTTTTGGAGGGGAAAAAGTGCGTCCTATAGGGCGAAAAATACGGTACTTTGCTCCCTTTACTTGTGGCACACCATGAGTCATGCTCACAGCTAACTAACTAACTAACTAACTAACTAACTAACTAATGGCTTTTAAGGAAGCCACTGTTCTTGGCAGAGCCAGCTCAATATGTTTTGGCACCTGAGGTGAACCACAAAATGGTGCCCCCTGCTATGTAAGAAGGGGTGACTGAATATCTAGGGCCCTGTGGAACTTGGCATCTTTCCTCAGGGTCTGCAAGACAGAGCTGTTACACCAGGCCTTTGGCCAGGGCACAGTCTGACCCCCTCTCTCCTTCTGTAATCCTCAAAGAACTCTAGCCCAATGGTTGCCATTAATTTGACTCTGACTTGATTTTAGAATGAATTGATTTTAGAATGTATTTCAATTAATTGATTGTGATTTTATGTAAACTGTGTTACTTTTACTGTTGTTAGCCGCTCTGAGCCTGGCTTCGGCTGGGGAGGGCGGGATATAAATAATATTTTATTATTATTATCATCTACATGTCAGGGACTAGCTGGATTCTGATGAGTGGGCACCGGGAGAAGGGTTGGAGAATGACTTGGAAGAAGGGATCAGTAGTGGGGCAGGAGAGCTGAAAATAATGCCACATACTTCACATTGGGTAATCAATGAGCCCCTTGGGTTTCAGATAGTATGTGGGTAAAGTAAAGATAAAGGGGACCCCTGACCATTAGGTCCAGTCGTGACCGACTCTGGGGTTGCGGCGCTCATCTCGCTTTATTGGCCGAGGGAGCCTGCGTACAGCTTCCAGGTCATGTGGCCAGCATGACTAAGCCACTTCTGGTGAACCAGAGCAGCGCACAGAAACACCGTTTACCTTCCCGTCAGAGCGGTACCTATTTATCTACTTGCACTTTGACGTGCTTTCGAACTGCTAGGTGGGCAGGAGCAGGGACCGAGCAACGGGAGCTCACCCCGTTGCAGGGATTCAAACTGCCGACCTTCTGATCGGCAAGTCCTAGGCTCTGTGGTTTAACCCACAGCGCCACCTGTGTCCCTTAGTACGTGGATAGACGAGTCTAAAAAGCCTAGGACACAAATTTTCACAGCCCTTTTGCTGCCACTAAACTTAATGGACCTAACGTTCATTAATTTCAGTGTGTCAGCTCTGGGTGATGTTCAGCTATCGGTTGGAGTGTTTAAACCAGGGGTCTGCAACCTTTAAGACAAAAAGAGCCACTTGGACCCGTTTCTGAAGAAAAAAAACCTGGGAGCCGCAAAACTCGTCATTATAAAAATAACGTTTTTGTCACTTTTTTATTATTTCTTTGTTTGACCCCTCAGAATTACTCCTCCTCATAGAAATAAACGTTAAATTAACAAGTTACCTTTTTTGTGTGTGTGTGTTCTTCACTCCCCTTCAAAACAGTGACCAGCGTACATGCCCCCTTTCAATGCAGTGACCAGCGTACATGCCCCTTACAATGTAGCGTCTGGGCGGGCGGGAAGGTGACGTCGGGACGGTGCGTGACTAACGCACACACCGCCCCCATGCGACGTCACAGCCAGTACAGTGCCCGCCACAGTGGGGAGTGTCGGGGCGCACAATGCGCCTCCTCCCCTCGCTAGTATCCGCCCCGGAGCCGCGGCAAAGGTGTAAAAGAGCCACATGCGGCTCCGCGGGTTGCAGACCCCTGGTTTAAACTATGCCTCTGCCTATGCTAAATCTGTAAATGAATGCAGATATTACAAAATGCTGGATCATACCCTTTTTAACATTCTTTTGAGCTTCTTTTGAGGTGAGGGAGAATATAAATGCGACAATAAGTAAGTTGCACAAAAGGCAAAAAGAAGCTGGCAATTCCAGCAGGAGGTAGCAAACAAGGTCAACCCTCAGCTGGATGCAGAGCTGAGCTTGCAAGCCCTCCCCTTCAGACTTTGCAGGTTTCTCACTTTGCTACAATCCTGCTGGTAAGACTGTTGATACGTGGAATAAAACTGATATACTTCATGTAATAAAAGAAAGATAGTTCTGTGTTGCTTTTAGTAAATACGTGATTGCACAAGGCATCATCTCATTCTTCATTCACTCTGAAAGTTAAACTAAGGAATGTGTGGTGCTGGGAGTTCTCCAATGCGAAAACATTTGGCTTTTGCTTACTGTGTTTCTGTACGGAAGAGGAACTCCACTTTTTTCCCCTGATTGTTCTGCAGCAGGAAGAGGCGGAAAAGGTTTTTGCTTGAGCCGTGCAGTTTCATTTCACACTTCTCTCCACGCACATTCGAGGAAGCAGCAAAATCAAATACAATAAAGCGCCCATTCCTGCAGGAGATAGAGAAAGAAAAGAAAAGGGGGGCATTTTAAAAGCTTGGTTTTAATGAGTAAGAAAGAGGACTCCTTGCCATTGCTGGCATAAGGGTATTTTGTGCCCTAGCAAATTATGAGTGGTTGCCCCCTGTTCTTCTTCTTTTTTTTTTTTAAAAAAAGATATTTATTGAGAAAATAAATTTAAATATAAGAAAAAATGAAAAATAAACATGCAAAATAATAAGCAGTTAAAAACACACATTAATTTTCAATAACATAACTTCCATACCCTTATTTCCTCCAACCTCCTCATACTTCCCTTCTTTGTATTCCAGTTGAGTTTGTTAGCTCAGCAAATCCTTACCATAAAATTTTTACCCATTTATAATCCTTTTTTTTCATATCTCCTAAAGCATTCCAGCTGGAAACCGCTTAATTTCTATCCAACATCTTTCTTACATTCATTAATTTTACAATATTTCTTTAAGTAGTCTTTAAATTTCTTCCAGTCTTCTTTCACCGACTCTTCTCCCTGGTCTCGGATTCTGCCGGTCATCTCAGCCAGTTCCATGTAGTCAATCACTTTCATCTGCCATTCTTCCAGAGTGGGTAGATCTTGTGTCTTCCAATACTTAGCGATTAGTATTCTTGCTGCTGTTGTGGCGTACATAAAAAAAGTTCTGTCTTTCTTTTGCACCAATTGGCCGACTATGCCCAGGAGAATGCATACCTTCCATCACTAAAATGTATTGTTGTGCCCCCTGCTCTTTATGCATAACACAACAATACATTTTAGTGATGGAAGGTGGAAAAATGCATACCTTTCCTAAATTCACATAAAGTCCCATTTTTAAAAAATGTGCCACCTGAATGCAAAACCATCTAAAATTATGCCAGGCTACTATAACATAACCTCTTCCATCCATTTCTCTTGCTGTAATCATGTGATTGTTTAGATTAATCTGAAATTGTATAAATAAAAAGAAGACTGAGTGTCAAGTAAGTATTTTTGTGGGGGGAGAATTTAACAAAAACTTTCTTATACTGAATATTTATACAGTGGTGCCTTGCAAGACGAAATTAATTCGTTCCGCGAGTTTATTCGTCTAGCGAATTTTTCGTCTTGCGAAGCACGGTGTCGGGAAAGTTTTGGAAAAGCTTCAAAAATCACCAAAAACCTCAAAAAAGGCTACCACACCACGTTCTATGAGTTGCTCCTTGAAGTCAAGTCACAACTGTATTAACGGTGTTAAGAAAAAGGAAACAAACTTGCAAGACGTTTTCGTCTTGCGAAGCAAGCCCATAGGGAAATTCGTCTTGTGAAGCAGCTCAAAAACCGCAAAACCCTTTCGTCTAGCGAGTTGTCATCTTGCGAGGCATTCGTCTTGTGGGGCACCACTGTACATATTTGGACTTGTAAAAGTGGGGGTGGGGGCTAAGAATATGATAATGTTTATTTTATTTTATTAACTTCATAAATTTCCAGACGTTTCCAGAAATTATTTATGTGTTACTAAAAGGAAAGGAAACAGAAAGGAAAGGAATTGACCCACCTCGTTTGCATAACTAGGATGTTACGATTGCTGAGGGATAAATGTTGAGTGAAAGATGGAGTAATGGAACCCTTCCCCCAAAACTTACTCTCTGGGCCGAGATAGGAGCAGGTAGTCATTAAAGAGATGCAGGTAGATTGGCCGGGTGGTCAGTTTCCACTTCAAGCTCAAGTTGTACTCCAGCGCTGTGAGTTCCCCACGTTTGACCAGCCGCCGTGACTGCGAGATGAGTGGGAAAATCTGCAAGTGCAAGAATAATTGCTCTAGGTGAGGCCCAAAGGTCTCATTGTAACTCCAGTGCTTCAAGGCACAAGTTTTGAGAGCTGTTCTCCTCTCCCTGCACAGAGGTAGAGAAGATTTCTTATCCCATCTCCAGTGCTAGAGGGCAATGGCTAGTGGAAGGAAAGGTGAGTGGTGTCAAAATGCCATTTTCCAGATTGTTCTGAGAGCCTGTAGAATACTCCACTGAAAAGGAGTTGCATATGGGATGAATGATGAAAGAATACCACTCCAGGGATGAAACAAAATAAAAAAATTCCTTCCAATAGCACCTTAGAGACCAACTAAATTTTTTATTCATATGAGCTTTCGTGTGCATGCACACTTCTTCAGATACACTGAAACAGAAGTCACCAGTGAGAGGGTGGGGAGGGGTATTACTCAGAAGGGTGGTGGGAATGGGTGATCAGCTGATAGGTGTGGTAAACCAGTTGATGACTGTTAATGATTGCAATTGGTCTTATAGGGAAAAGCAAAGGGTGAGATGGCCAAAAATAGCTTTATCATGTATAATGAGATAATAATCCAATGTCTCTATTCAGACCAGGTCTCTCCATGGTTTAAAGTTTGGTAATAAGTTGTAATTCAGCAACTTCTCTTTCCAGTCTATTTCTGAAATTCTTTTGTAATAAGACAGCTACTTTGAGAACTTGTATAGTGGGAGAACTTGTCCTGGGAGATGGGATGGACAGCTTTGGAAAGGCAGAAGCCAGACTTGGTCGTAATGAACTGTGAAACACACTCTCCTGTCCTCTGAATGTGGTTTTCAGTTTGTTTTGTGAGAAAGCAAGATTGCTTGGAAGCTATTGGGGGGTGGGGGTTCTCAACAGGCAGCCAAGCTCTCCTGAAAGACCTTCCCACCCACAACTGCTTTCCCCTGCAACTGGCAGGTGTGTGTGAGTTCTGGGTGTGCTCCTTGTCTCCAAGGAGTAGCAATGAGGCTCAAGGGGCATTGGCACCCTGCATTAACGGAGTTGCGTGTGTGGCCTAGAATACTTTCCAGGGGGTGGGGTGGCAGAGAAGCAAGGGCTTCCTGGTAGACAGATCCATGTGGGGAGGTTTCTCTGAAGCTAGAAAGTTGATAAAATTACTATTCTAGCCTACACATTGGAAGGTGGATGTGGCCAGTAGATGGGTCACACATCGCTCTGCACACAGATCGCCCAGCTGTTGCCTGATGGCATGAATGATACTGTGCCCAATACCATCACAGTGAGGGCAACCTTGCCTATAAGACTGCATTGGGGAACCTGTGGTCCCTCCGCTCCTGCCAGCATAGCCAATGGTTAGGGGGCTGTATGCCCAACATCAGAAAGGACACAGGTTCTCCTGTCCCTTCTGCAAGATAGGGATAAGCTGAAGGCCTCTTGGTGACCAGGGCAGTTCACTAGTAGATTAGCTCTGGTCATAGAATCACAGAGTTGGAAGGTACCCTGAGCATCATCTAGCCTAACCCCCTTCAAAGCAGAAATTGTACCCATAGGGGGATCAAACCTGTGACCTTGGCATCATCAGCACTATGCAGGGCTATCTATGCATGAATAAAGCAGGTGGTTGCAGTACAGTGTCAGACGGGGGAAGCTGTAACCCCCTGAATGAATGTTTACCTTGCATTCAAACTCCATATTTTTACCCAAGTAGATTAGCTCCTCAGTGCTCCTCATACGCTGGACATTTTCATTGCAATCTTTGATGAGCTGCGGAAAGGAAAATGCTATTAGGGTGGGGAAGTGTTGGAAAAAATGGGGGGGTGGCTGTCCCCTTCTCAAAGCGGAAAGGGTGACAGGGTATGGGTTTAGGAGGCAGAGAATGGAATCAAGCCACCTGGTTTTGGCAGGAGCAACTTTTTAGAAAAAAATGCAAGAATCTTCAATTGGCTAGACCAATTCTCTGGCTGAGTTAAGCTAATTTCAGATCCACTGTTTATATGTGTAAAGTACCCACGGCCCTCTTTTTTCTCTAAATGATAAACCTCAATCACTTAGAAAGCTGGTAAGCTTCTTCCAGCATAGCAGAGAAAGGGATGTAACTTCCAGCATGGGGTACCTCATAGCTGTAGGACTGGATGCATGGGGCTTGGGATGACCCAGTTCCACAAGGGGACACAGATAATAATAATAATAATAATAATAATAATAATAATAATAATAATAATAATAATTTATTTATACCCCGCCCATCTGGCTGAGTTTCCCCAGCCACTCTGGGCGGCTCCCAATCAGTGTTAAAAACAGTACAGCGTTACATATTAAAAACTTCCCTGAACAGGGACTCGGTCCATCTATGTATGGCCTCAGTAATGACGAAAAGCAACAGTGCAGGCAGAGACCGATCTTAAGAGAGAGGTTACATAGACAGAACTGTTCCTTTTGTGGTTAGGGCTTGATGTTGAGGGAACTGGTTACAGTTGTACCTCCTTTTGTGTCCGGGATCCGTTCCGGAGCCCCAGACGCACGACGAAAGGGACGCTCGACAAAGCGCGAAGCACGATTTAGCACTTCTGCAAGTGTGCAAGTGGCAAACCTGGAAGTAACCTGTTCCGGTACTTCTGGGTTTGCCGTGGACATTCAACAAAATGGACCCTAAATGGGGCGGACGCAAAAGGACTGTACTTTGGATCAACCACTTTTTCAGGAAAAGGCTCACCAGCTAGATTTCTTTAGCGTTCAAGATATGCATCTGGGTCTCATTACCCATGCTGGAAGTTACATCCCTTTGGGTCTAAACTTTCCCAGGCACCCTCTATTTAGAGGGGAATACTCAAACATTTGTGGTTAATTATAGAACATATAGGGACGCGGGTGGCGCTGTGATCTAAACCACAGAGCCTAGGGCTTGCCGATCAGAAGGTCGGCGGTTCGAATCCCCGCGATGGAATGAGCTCCCGTTGCTCTGTCCCTGCTCCTGCCAACCTAGCAGTTCGAAAGCACGTCAAAGTGCAAGTGGATAAATAGGTACCGCTCCAGCGGGAAGGTAAACAGTGTTTCCGTGCACTGCCCTGGTTTGCCAGAAGCGGCTTAGTCATGCTGGCCACATGACCCGGAAGCTGTACGCCAGCTCCCTCGGCCAATAAAGCGAGATGAGCGCCGCAACCCCAGAGTTGACCACGACTGGACCTAATGGTCAGGGGTCCCTTTATCTTTATAGAACATATAACTTCAGAATATTCTACCGCCAGCTGTGTCTTGGCCAGAGTGCTGGACTTAGACTGAGGAGACCCAGATTCAAATCACCCCTCAGTCCAGAATCTCACTAGATGGCATTGGCTCAGTAAAAAACACAGTTGATTCACACAGTGAACGGATACATTGTGCATCCAAACCACAGTGTTGGGTTACATGCAAGCATTACTGCACATCATTGTAACTAACTTGGAGCCACTTCCAAACCATTATTTGTTGCATGTTTTTAATTAATAGGGGAAGAGAAGTCGCTCGGGTATCTAAGGAATTCATATCTCACGTGTCTCAGAAAACAACAGCATGGGTACCTCAGCTTCTAGATACTGGGAATTTGTGGCCCGGAAGAGTTGAGAAAACTTTTGAACCATTTGTGTGAGGCAGCCAGAAGTGGTGAGAGAGCTGAAGAATGGGTTTCAACACTCTTTACCTTTTCAAGTGCATCATATGCTTGAGTGGCCTGTACCTCTTCATCGGCACCGGGCCGAGTTCTCTTCAGTATGTTCTGCAGGAGGGAAGCAAAGGGTTTTTGGTAAGAGATTAAATACTTGACTAATTTTGGATTTTCAGGCAGTGGTAAATTAAAGGTGATCCCTCTGGTCAGCACCTAGTTTATATAGGGGACAATTTTGAGAGAAGGTGCTGGTCAATCCCTTAACTTCCATCCCCCACAGAGATTTGCCAGAAAGTTTTCTTGCCACAGATACTATGTGCTCCACACCTTTAGGCTGATAACAGAGAACTAAGGGAAGGCGGCAGGGCCTTTCAGGGGTTCCAGTTTTTAAACGTATTTGAGAAAACAAGTTTTTCAAACTCCCTTTGAAGTTGTGCTTCCATGGACCAAGTTTCAGCACTCCTCCTAAAACTTCCCAGAGTCCAAAAGAAATGGGTATAAATCAGGCACAGGCAAACTTGGCCCTCCAGATGTTTTTGGCCTACAACTCTCATATTCCCCAGCTAGCAGGACCAGTGGTCAGGGATGATGGGAATTGTAGTCCCAAAACAGCTGGAGGGCCGAGTTTGCCTATACCTGGTATAAATATTGGAATTAAGCCATGCTCCTGGGGAAGAGGTGAGTGCGGAATGGCAGAGCACAGGTTTTGAAAATACAGGAGGTTAAGATTCCTGCCACCTCCACCAAAACAATTTCAGACAGAAGCTCCTGGAAAACACCTTTTGGACTGAGTCACACTTCTACCTGGCAAAGCTCTGGCTTGCTGCCATTCCATGCATGTAAATGTCAAATATCTTTGCAATAAAGAAGTGGCACCAATTCTTTTCCTGCTGCTTACATTTTTATTGCCAGGAAAACTGTCGATTTAATTATGAGGCTGGCCAGCCCAAGGAAAGGCGAGTCCTGTGTCCCCAACACTTTTACCTGGAGAAGGAGTTTAAGTCTTGTGATGCGCTGGAACGGGAGGATGAGGAAGGATTTGAGAGACAGGCGCTGGCAAACAGGATCACTTTCTAGTCTCTCCAAAACCTGTTGGAAGGCAGGGACATCATTCCTGCCAGAGAGAAGACGCGGCAGATTAGATTGACTCCCAACTAGGAAAGCTGAGGCTGCTGAAAAGTTCAGAGACCATCTTGGCAGTAAGTCCTGGAAGACTTGCTCCCTGCCTTGTGGGCCTTTCCCACCTGGCCTGGGAGGCTGAACAGAATCTTGGGCTGGGGTGGTGTTGGGAGGGATATTAATCTTTTTTTATCTTTATTTTTAGAGCTTATGTGTGTGAGGCCTTTTTAGACCTCTTATTTATTTATATACCACCCTTCATCACAAGATCTCAGGGCGGTTCTAAAGAAAGATCTTGGTTTCACTGCCGATTATTTGTTCTTATTTGTTTTTATTGTTTTCCTGCTTCCTACTGTTTTTATCCACTTTATGTAAGCCTCTCTGGCTGGCTGAAGAACGGTGTGAAAATGTCCCAAATAAAGTAAGAAAAATAAAACAAAATGCTGACTATTATGCATCAACCTCTTTGGGGCTTTCATTCTATTTAAATTGCACTAGAATGACAAACCTAGGCAGCATCTTAAAAAGCAGAGACATCACCTTGCCAACAAAGGTCCGTATAGTAAAAGCTATGGTTTTCCTGGTACAGTGGTGCCTCGCAAGACGAAATTAATTCGTTCCGCAAGTTTTTTCTTCTTGCGAGTTTTTTCGTCTTGCGATGCACGGTTTCCCATAGGAATGCATTGAAAATCAATTAATGCGTTCCTAGGGAAACCACCTTCAGACCAGGTCCGGGGACAGTCTGTCCCCCGACCTCTTCTGAAGGCTGGGGGGGGGGGGGGAACAAGGGCTTTTTTCCCACTGCCAGCCTTCAGAAGGCTGTTCTGAAGGCTGGCAGTGGGAAAAAAAGCCCTTCTTCCCACCTCCCGCCCCGCAAGCTCCGGGGACCTCCTGCCGGGCGCGCGAAGCTTGCTGACACTCGCCCGAAGCAGGGGAAGCCTCCGGAGGGCTCCCCATGCTTCGGGCGACAGGCTGCCGCCCCAAGCCTCGCGCACCCGGCGGGACCTCCTGCGGGCGCGCGAGGCTTGCAGACACTCGCCCAAAGCAAGGGGAGCTCTCCGAAGGGCTCCCCGTGCTTCGGGTGACAGGCTGCCGCCCCAAGCCTCGCGCACCCGGCGGGACCTCCTGCCGGGTGCACAAGGCTTGCAGACACTTGCCCGAAGCAGGGGAAGCCCTCCGGAGGGCTCCCCGTGCTTCGGGTGACAGGCTGCCGCCCCAAGCCTCGCGCACCTGGTGGGACCTCCTGCCGGGTGCACGAGGCTTGCAGACACTCGCCCAAAGCAAGGGGAGCTCTCCGAAGGGCTCCCCGTGCTTCGGGTGACAGGCTGCTGCCCCAAGCCTCGCGCACCCGGCGGGACCTCCTGCCGGGTGCGCAAGGCTTGCAGACACTCGCCCGAAGCAGGGGAAGCCCTCCGGAGGGCTCCCCGTGCTTCGGGCAACAGGCTGCCGCCCCAAGCCTCGCGCACCCGGCGGGACCTCCTGCCGGGTGCACGAGGCTTGCAGACACTCGCCCAAAGCAAGGGGAGCTCTCCGAAGGGCTCCCCGTGCTTCGGGCGACAGGCTGCCGCCCCAAGCCTTGCGCACCCGGTGGGACCTCCTGCCGGGTGCGCGAAGCTTGCTGACACTCGCCCAAAGCAAGGGGAGCTCTCCGGAGGGCTCCCCGTGCTTCGGGTGACAGGCTGCCGCCCCAAGCCTCGCGCACCCGGCGGGACCTCCTGCCGGGTGCGCGAGGCTTGCTGACACTCGCCCAAAGCAAGGGGAGCTCTCCGGAGGGCTCCCCGTGCTTCGGGTGACAGGCTGCCGCCCCAAGCCTCGCACACCCGGCGGGACCTCCTGCCGGGTGCGCGAGGCTTGCAGACACTCGCCCGAAGCAGGGGAAGCCCTCCGGAGGGCTCCCCGTGCTTCGGGTGACAGGCTGCCGCCCCAAGCCTCGCGCACCCGGTGGGACCACCTGCCGGGTGCGCGAGGCTTGCTGACACTCGCCCAAAGCAAGGGGAGCTCTCCGAAGGGCTCCCCGTGCTTCGGGTGACAGGCTGCCGCCCCAAGCCTCGCGCACCCGGTGGGACCTCCTGCCGGGTGCGCGAGGCTTGCTGACACTCGCCCGAAGCAGGGGAAGCCCTCCGGAGGGCTCCCCGTGCTTCGGCAACAGGCTGCCGCCCCAAGCCTCGCGCACCCGGCGGGACCTCCTGCCGGGTGCACGAGGCTTGCAGACACTCGCCCAAAGCAAGGGGAGCTCTCCGAAGGGCTCCCCGTGCTTCGGGTGACAGGCTGCCGCCCCAAGCCTCGCGCACCCGGTGGGACCTCCTGCCGGGTGCGCGAGGCTTGCAGACACTCGCCCGAAGCAGGGGAAGCCCTCCGGAGGGCTCCCCGTGCTTCGGGCAACAGGCTGCCGCCCCAAGCCTCGCGCACCCGGTGGGACCTCCTGCCGGGTGCACGAGGCTTGCAGACACTCGCCCGAAGCAGGGGAAGCCCTCCGGAGGGCTCCCCGTGCTTCGGGTGACAGGCTGCTGCCCCAAGCCTCGCGCACCCGGCGGGACCTCCTGCCGGGTGCGCGAGGCTTGCAGACACTCGCCCAAAGATTTTAAAATGCTGGAGGTCGGGAGCAAAGCGTTCGCTCCCGCCCGCCAGCATTTTAAGATCGCCCGGGGCAGCGGAGAAGTCTCCGCTGTCCCGGGAAGGCAGGCGGGGGGGAGCAAAGACTTTTGCCCCCCGCCGGCCTTCAGAAGAGGTCCAGGACCTCTTCTGAAGGCCGGCTGTGGGCGAAAGTCTTTGCTCCCGACCGCCAGCAATTTAAAACAGGTCCCCGGAGATTTCCCTATGGGCTTTCGTCTTGCGAAGCAAGCCCATAGGGAAATTCGTCTTGCGAAGCGCCTCCAAAACAGAAAACCCTTTCGTCTTGCGGGTTTTCCGTCTTGCGAGGCATTCGTCTTGCGGGGTACCACTGTAGTGATGTATGGAAGTGAGAGCTGGACCATAAAGAAGGCTGATCGCTGAAGAACTGATGCTTTTGAATTATGGTGCTGGAGGAGACTCTTGAGAGTCCCATGGACTGCAAGAAGATCAAACCTATCCATTCTCAAGGAAATCAGCCCTGAGTGCTCACTGGAAGGACAGATCCTGAAGCTGAGGCTCCAATACTTTGGCCACCTCATGAGAAGAGAAGACTCCCTGGAAAAGACCCTGATGTTGGGAAATGTTGGGAAAGATGGAGGGCACAAGGAGAAGGGGACGACAGAGGACGAGACAGTGGGACGGTGTTCTCAAAGCTACCAGCATGAGTTTGACCAAACTGCAGGAGGCAGTGGAGGCCAGGAGTGCCTGGCGTGCTCTGGTCCATGGGGTCATGAAGAGTCGGACACGACTAAACAACTAAACAACAACAACAACAAATTGCTGTTATCTAGGATATGTTACCATGGACTTGAATTCTGGGAGATGCATCTTAGTTGATTGCCATTCCTCTGACAATACCCTGGAATCTCCTTGGAAGGGCCAGGATCCTTTGGCCAATTGCAGCAAACATCATTTCCCCTGGAATTTGCCTCTTTATAGGTGAATTTATCTATAAAATCTATATGAGATTGGAATGGCCCAGCGCTTCCTCTAACCTGGAACCTGAACTAAATCATGTAATAACATCTGTTTTGGGTATCTTAAACACTTATGAACTGAATCAGGTGTGGCCCATTGAAATAGGGCTCTTCTGCTTGCTGTGAACTACTGCTGTGATGCTTTTTATACTTCCACAAAAAGCACTATTGTTATATAAAAGGCAGTTTGCTTGACAACCTGACAACAGTTTGTTAAGTGTCCTGGGAACTATAGCTCTGTGAGGGGGGCAGCTACAGTTCCCAGGATTCTTTGGGAGGAATCATATGCTTTGAATGTGTATTAAGTAAAGGTAAAGGGACCCCTGAACATTAGGTCCAGTTGTGGCCAACTCTGGGGTTGCGGCACTCATTTTGCTTTATTGGCCAAGGGAGCCGGCATACAGCTTCCGGGTCATGTGGCCAGCATGACTAAGCCGCTTCTGGTGAACCAGAGCAGTGTACGGAAACACCGTTTACCTTCCCGCCAGAGCGGTACCTATTTATCTACTTGCACTTTGATGTCCTTTCAAACTGCTAGGTTGGCAGGAGCAGGGACCGAGCAACGGGAGCTCACCCGGTCATGGGGATTTGAACCGCCGACCTTCTGATCGGCAAGTCCTAGGCTCTGTGGTTTAACCCACAGCGCCACCCGCATCCCTACTGAATGTTTATTAGATGTGCTTTAAATGTGTGGTGTGGATCTCTCCTAACTGTCCACCTCTAGATGAGGTTTTGTTCCAGTTTAACTGTCCTGGGTTCCCCTGCAGAACCTTGTGCATTGTCTGCTAGAGAGCCTTATCACCCCACCTCTTTTCAGAGCGATAGTTCCCAAGAGAGGAGACAACTTGTCTGTGGTGTAGATATGCCACAAAGGACATTTTGTGGGGTGTTACAAAGAGGATAAGAATATAGGAAACGGGGGCATCTTTAGGTTTCTTACAGTAGTCGCCGAAATGTCTGCTCCTGGTACGTCTGGTTTGTCACATACGGCAGGTAAACCCTCCGGAATTCTGGTGCATGCCTCAGAGCCACGTCACACACATTGAAGGTGAACATGTTCTCCTCAAGCTTCTCCTCCAGGTCAAATAGGAAGCTGCAGGAACCCCCCAGAAGAGAATAATGAGACATGGTGACCAGAATTACAGCACTTCCCCCAACTTTTTAACCTTTCTCCTTCTCTAGAAAAATAACTATCCCTGCATGCAAGATGCAGGGAAATTCTTACTCATTGTGTGACAGGAGTGAGCTTGCAGTAAATCACCCAAGCAAGTTGGAGTTAACTCTTTATTAGCAGCAACAGGATCTGCACAGGAGTGTGAGGCCTAAAGAGCACAGCAACTCATTTCTGACAGGTCTTTCCCCCATGAAGCAGCTGCTGAGGCTGAAAGCCTCCCCACAGCTGCCTAAGTCCCCTCATTGCCAGGGTTTCCCCCCAAGCAATCTGAGACTGTGCCTGCATGACTGTCTTTGATCCTCTCACTTCATACCTCTTCTGGTTCTGGGAGACCAGGGAGGAGTGCTTGTTGCACCTTGCTTGGGTGATCATATAAAGATTTAGGGCTTATTGCCCCAGGGAAAACTACTTTTTAGTGTTCACTTGGATTGGTGTTTGCTCTGATTTGGCACCAAAAAGCAGGCTTTCCCTGGAAAAGGAGCAGGGCAAGGGGAAAACTGCTCGGATCCATGCTTTCTAGACAGGGGACAAGTGGAAGCGTGGACAAACCCTTCAGTCATTTTTATTCTATTCATCTGCTGAACAGCATTCTAGGCAAATGTGCAACCAGATTAAAAAATCAAAACACAATGTTAAACAATGTTACAACATTAAATACTAACAAAACTTTTAGTTGTGTCGTTGTGTTTTTCCCCCAGGGCTACATAAACATGGAGACCAGAATCCAGGTTTTACTCCAAAATGACAGGAAGTATTTCCTAAGTCACGGCTAATTATTTGTATGTGATAATAGAAATATCAGCCTGAATGTGTGCATAGTAGGCAGGCTTGAGGAATTCATGAACTAATGTATGGATTGCAGTATAGCTATCCTGGGCATTTTGCACTTCTCTAGCTTTACAGTTGGGACGCGGGTGGCGCTGTGGGTAAAACCTCAGCGCCTAGGACTTGCCGATCGCATGGTCGGCGGTTCGAATCCCCGCAGCGGGGTGAGCTCCCTTCGTTTGGTCCCAGCTCCTGCCCACCTAGCAGTTCGAAAGCACCCTTAAGTGCAAGTAGATAAATAGGTACCGCTTTATAGCGGGAAGGTAAACGGCGTTTCCGTGTGCTGCTCTGGTGCAGGCTCACCAGAGCAGCTTCATCACGCTGGCCACATGACCCGGAAGTGTCTGCGGACAGTGCTGGCTCCCGGCCGCTAGAGTGAGATGAGCGCACAACCCTAGAGTCTGTCAAAACTGGCCCGTATGGGCAGGGGTACCTTTACCTTTACCTTTACAGTTATCAGCTCAAAAGGTATTAAGCATGTGCATTTCATGATAAAATGTGCATTGAAATATTTTTAGAAATGCATATTTCATGACAAAATATACACCAGTAATTTGGAATGCTGGTTCTGTTGAAAGCAGACAGGCACCTCCAATTCTAGTATTTAGCTGCCTTAGCATTTTAAAATAATTAATTCGATTCAGTATTAGTCTGCATTTTAAACGCTTTAATTATCTTACTATACACTGCCATAATATTTTTATGAGTTGGCAGTTTATAAATGGCCTTATAAATAAATAAATAAAAAATAAAATATGCATTCAAATATGAATTTTCATTTGGCTTTTTTTTAAAGTTGCAGATTAATTTGGAAACAGGACAGAATATCCTGTCCTGAATGAATTAGTGCATGGAAAACTGATGCTGGCAGTGGTCTGCCCACCCACAGTGTATAAAGGTAAAGGTAAAGGTACCCCTGCCCGTACGGGCTAGTCTTGACAGACTTTAGGGTTGTGCGCCCATCTCACTCAAGAGGCCGGGGGCCAGTGCTGTCCGAAGACACTTCCGGGTCACGTGGCCAGCGTGACATCGCTGCATCTGGCGAGCCACAGCAGCACACGGAAACGCCGTTTACCTTCCCGCTGGTAAGCGGTCCCTATTTATCTACTTGCACCCGGGGGTGCTTTCGAACTGCTAGGTTGGCAGGCGCTGGGACCGAACAACGGGAGCGCACCCCACCGCGGGGATTCGAACCGCCGACCTTTCGATCAGCAAACCCTAGGTGCTGAGGCTTTTACCCACAGCGCCACCCGCATCCCTGCACATTGTTCCTGTACACCCAGTGTATAGTCTAGCGCAAAGTACTATGCCGTTATGAGGCACAGGCAAGTATCTATTGATTGCATTGGCTCGAGACGTCCAGGGTTTCGGTGTGATAGCTGTACAAGCAGAACAGGAAGACCAGAACTCACTTGGCACTAACGTCACGTACATCCTGAAGGCGGGAGAAAAGCCACTGTTTATCTTGATTCGTTAAGACAGCTTGGAGTTCGTGGCAGTGCTGGAAGTGGTCCACGGCCACATTTAAGCTCCGCAGGTATGAGGCTTCTGATACAATCAGTTCAAACTTGGCCTGTTAATAATGTGGAGAACATAAGCTTTAGAGCACAGGATACTCTGAGAAGCAATGAATTATTTGAGATGGAATTAAACGGAAAAGGAAAATCCTCAAGGGGAGTAGATCGTATCTGCATGTTCTTGATGGAGACACAGCTAGCAACTGTATCTCTCGCTTCATCGTCCATCAGAAAAGAGGCCTGGAACTGGTCTATCCAAACCAGCAGATCAAGAATTGCATTCAGTGTTAAGTTGTGGGTGAACATATCAGACGACACAGCGATTCTTTATTCACAGGCCAGAACTGAACTCTGAACTGAATTGAAGGGTTCAGTCAGCCTGCTTATATAGAGCTCCAGTACAATGTACCTGTAACAATTTTCTAAAACTATCCAATCACTGAAGGACACTTTCGATCCCTTATTTGCATAACTATCTACAGTATCCCCCTGCTCGCCCAGGGTGGGAACTTCAGTACATAACATTCAGCACCACACAACCAAACATCCTATGAATGTTTCAGGGGTCAACCTTGGAAACCTCCATCCTTCCACCTGCCTAGATTTCGGATATTGAACATTTGCTGCTCTCTTGCTCCATCTCCCCATCACTGTCTCCTTTCCTTTTTGTCCTTTCCTCCTGGATCCACTCCTAAAGGAAAACCTCTTTGATTGTTTTTGCCAGCCTATTGGTCCTTAAGATCTTTCCCTTCATTTTCATCTTACATGCAACCCTTCTGAATGATTTCAAACAATTTGTCACCCCTTCCTCGTGCATTCGAAGGTTGCAATCCTACGTTGCCTGTGAGTTATGTTGTGGGCAGGGCTGGATTTAGGTTTGATGAGGCCCTAAGCTACTGAAGGCAATGGGGCCCTTTATATGTCCAGCTGTCCTCTGTCAACAACAAACTGTCACTGTTTCTTTGTGTTGAATATATGCTATGAGGTAATTCATGGACCTAATAGGCATCTAAAGCCATTTGCACACAACAAAATATTATATCACAGGAGCCTACACAACACAAAAAACTGTTGCTGTATGTAGGTTTAATTTATTTGTTTTTTATCTTATATTTTGGGAATGTACATCCAGGTTTTTTTTTTCCTTAATTTTTTTTTGGGGAGCCCCTAAGAGAGTTCAAAAGCACATCAAAGTGCAAGTAGATATATAGGTATATATAGATATATATAGATATATAGGTACCACTCCGACGGGAAGGTAAACGGCGTTTCCGTGCGCCACATGACCCGGTTCGCCACATGACCCGGAAGCTCCTCGGCCAATAAAGCAAGATGAGCGCTGCAACGGTCATGACTGGACCTAATGGTCAGGGGTCCCTTTACCTTTACCTTTAAGAGAGTGGGGCCTTAAGCGTACAGCTTCCGGGTCATGTGGCCAGCATGACGAAGCCGCTTCTGGCAAACCAGAGCAGCACACGGAAACGCCGTTTACCTTCCCGCCGGAGCGGTACCTATTTATCTACTTGCACTTTGACGTGCTTTCAAACTGCTAGGTGGGCAGGAGCTGGGACTGAACAACGGGAGCTCACCCCGTCACGGGGATTCGAACCTCCGACCTTCTGATGAGCAAGTCCTAGGCTCTGTGGTTTAACCCACAGCGCCACCTGCGTCCCTATAGCTTGTTTAGCTTATACGTAAATACGGCACTGGTTGTGGGCATCCGTCTATCTCAAGAGTAATCCCCACAGAACTCTGATAAAGTAAATTAATGCTGCAGAGCTGTTGGCTGCTAGTTGCTTATTTCAAACCAGCATGCCAACTTCCCTGATTCTGCAGCTCTCTGTCCATCCTCTCGCTTCAGTTTTCCATTTGGACTCTTACCCCATTCATCTGGTTCGCTCCATCTTCCAGCTCGCCTCCTCTAGGCCTGCTGGTTCTACCACTAGCCATATTGAGTTAGCCTCCTCTCTAGTCAAATATGCCTGGCTGTGCTCCTCCTCTATTACCTCCTGCAACTTCTGCTCCTCACGGGTCATGCTCAGCAGCACAGTGCTCTCTCGGACCATGGGGATGTCCTGCCACAGGGACGTCGAGGATGAGACGGACAAGCGTTGCAGGTAGGAATCCTGAGGGGAGATGTTTTTTCTTCGTAACCTCGGGGAGTCTGTGGATTTATACTCCAAATCTTCGGTCAAGGAATCTGCTCTCTTTTGACTTTGAATAGCTTTGTTCAGTGCAACATCGCTGTATTCCTGGTAGAGCAACTTCGCTGTGAAGAAAAACCACCAAGTCTTAACAATTCTGACTCAATGCACCAGGCCTGCAACCAGAGCTATTATGCGGGTGGTGAGGTGGTTGTGGTGGGGTTAGGGCACACTGAGGAGAGGAAGGGACAAGGTTTAATTTGTCAGTGTGAAGCAGTAAACACACTGTATTTTAAATTCCAAACAGCCTGAAGTTAAACAACTTACATTCAAATGTTGTTGTATAAACATAGAAAAAATAAACATTAAAATGAAATGACCGGTTAGAAAAAGATATGTACAGTCGTACCTTGGTTCTCAAACAGAATGCATTCCAGGAGTCCGTTTGACTTCCAGAACTGTTCGAAAACCAAGATGCACCTTCTGATTGGCTGCAGGAGCGTCCTGCAGCCAATCAGAAGCCACGGAAGACGCAGAGGACGTTCGGCTTCTGAAAATCATTCAGAATCATTCACTTCCGGTTTTCGATCATTCAGAAGCCGAAATGTACGTAGATGCCCTAGAGAGAGGTCTAATTTAGCATTTTTATCTTACTTGTATTTAGTAAGCAAAGCTAAAACTTTTGAAATTGCCAAGCTTGCTGAATCTGCAGTTAGCATCCAATTCATTGTTGCTAATGAGTTTATAGATTTATTTTATTTTTAAAAATAAATCCATCCCGCATCAGCACTTTTCTCTCAGGCCAACCCAGCTCTGAGAACAAAAATAAGGAGATAAATTAAGTAAGATGCTAGGGTTGTTTCTATATCTACTCCCATTTTCTGCAAAAAGAAGAAAAAGCAGGGAGAATAACACTCTTGTTTAGGCTCATGTTTGATATCCCCTCTCAGGCAACGCTGCTGCCGCTGAGATGCTTTAGGATCTCTTTACCATCTCTCTTTCATTGAAAATAATATTGAAGCATCCAGAAACCTGAACGAGAGCTCCAATCTAGAATAGGAAGACATTCCAGAACAGGGACCTATGACTGCTCTTCCTCCAAAATATAAATGGCTGGTCTGAGCACACTTTTGTAAAAGCATATATAATTTAATGTGTATGTAGTCACATCCAAACCATGTTTGGAGGGGGTAGAATGAATAGTGGGGAGGAGGAACTGAAGGGAGCATGGAATCACAGCAGGGAGTTTTGTCAGTTTAGAGTGGGGGGTAGATGGGATTAGCTGGGTGGGAATGGGGTTTAGGGTGGAGATTACTAGTTCTAATCACATTCACGTCAGACACAGCTTTTATGTTTTCATTTTTCTTCAATTAAACACTCTTGTCTGCTATTAACCCTGGGAAAATTTAAATGAACCCCACATTTAGAGGCTTGAACCAGGCAGAGGGCCTTCTCGGTGGTGGTGCCCGCCCTGTGGAACACCCTCCCATCAGATGTCAAGGAAATAAACAACTATCTGACTTTTAGAAGACACCTGAAGGCAGCCCTGTTTAGGGAAGTATTTAATGTGTGACATTTTAATGTATTTTTAATCTTTGTTGGAAGCCACCCAGAGTGACTGGGGAAACCCAGCCAGATGGGCGGGGTACAAATAAATTATTATTATTATTATTATTATTATTATTATTATTATTATTATTAATTATTACTTTCTGTTTTTAATCTGTTGATAGCTACCCAGAGTGCCTGTGGAAACCCAGCTAGATGAGGCGGGATAAAAATAATAAATTTATTATTATTATTATTATTATTATTATTATTATTGCTATTATTCTCCACCTGTTTTTTAGCACACAGAGAACTTCGTTAGGCAGGAAGTACTTACACGAGTTGATTAATTTGGAGCGCCGCCGTTTGATGGTTTCTGCTGTCTCTAGTAGTTTCTTCTCTCTTTCAGGGAATGGAAAACATCAAGATGTGAATAGTATACAAATATGAGGAAAACCAATAAGGTCTACAGACAGGATAGTATAACCTGAGCATTGGATCTCATCAGTTACAGCTAGCATTTTAAACGCTGGGTTCATAGCGTACATTGCCTACTCTCGCTGAGGAAAATGGCAAGGCAGAAACCACGATAAAGCTTCTTCTTGGAAGTTTGTTCTTCCAAGGAGCATTTGGCAGATTTCTTCAGGTTAATTCATCTTTACAACAACTCTGTGAGGCAAGTTAGACATGCCACATCTCCCTTTACACATATTTTATCAACACAATTGTTGATACTGCCATAGTTCTCGCCATCTTGGTCTGTGTCTCTCCAAAGCTTCCATACAATTGTATGGAATATAATACCCTATACCAGGCATGTCCAAAGTGTGTTCCGGGGGCCTAATCCAGCCTGCCGTCCAGTTTTATCTGGCCTCTGTTGCAGTTTATCTCCTGGGGTAAAATCCTAAAAAAAGCTCAACAACTAACAACTTTGGTCGGCCCTCACGCATGTTAATTTCATCAAATCTGGCCCTCCTTGGAAAAAGTTTGGGCACCCCTGCCCTATACAGAAGGGGGAGCTTTCCACAGTTCACATTGGATTGACCTGGAAATAAGCTGAGCTTTTAAAATTGGGCAATTGGCTGGGAAATAGGTCAGGCTATCTGAATTCAACCACTTAACGCCCTGCCCCACCCAGCCCCAAAGCTGTCATTTGCAGCCACAGTGAATTCATGGAGGCTTACAAAACTGCAATATCCTCACTGCAAATTATGGTTCCACATCTGCAGCCAAGGGGGATAAAGAGCCTGCAGAACATCAAAACACTTCCTGAAGCCCCCCACAAACAGTGTAGTTCAGAGATGGTGTCTCTTGCCCTGAGCAGTTCAATAGGTTGGCAGCCTGCTGGAGCTTCTCTAAGTTGCTCTAATTTCAGGTCCTTTGCAGGGTCTCCTCAAACTGTGCAAAGCTGTTGTTCTTGAGGGTGGATTTTAATTTGCGCTGGAGAACTTGGGGTTCTCGTAAGGTTCCCCTCTTCTTTGAGGTGAGCATCAATGAGCTCCTGAATCCCATATCCAAGCTCAGCAAGCTTTTCCAACATCTCTTATGTTTTATTTACAGACCTCTTGAGGGGTTGAGAATAAACATTGGGCTGGAATGAACCATGTGGGCAGAAGCTTTTTTGCATACCTTAACTGGGGGTGAAGGCAATTAAGTATTTCAGGGGGGCTTAATTTATTTGTCCAAGGCAGGTCACTCAGTCAGCTTCATAGCCGAGGAAGGAGCTTGAACTTGCTTTTCACTTATTGGAAACCCAACATTGTAACTGCTGATATACCACACTGGTTCTTAGTTCCTGTGACATAGCGTGAACATTCAGAAAGCACTAGAAGGAATTTAATTCCACTGCCACAAGAGGCTGTCCTGTGGCTCAGTACAAAAATGCTTATGGGAAGAGACTCACCCAAATTTCATTCTGTCGAAATGGTCTGATTTTTCTTTGTGTGCAGGGGCTTCCTCCTTTGACGAGATAAGAGATGCTATAAACTCTGAAAATAGAAAAGATAGTGGGGTTGTCTTATTCCCAAAAAAATTAAGTGCTGAAGTGCTTGTAATTCAGTCACAACTTCTCAGCTGCAAAAATGGAAATGTAGCTCATTGGAGCAGGTGGAGAGAAGGACTATACAGTGGTACCTTGGTTTACGAACTTAATCCGTTCCAGAAGTCCATTCTTAAACCAAAGCGTTCTTAAACCAAGGCGTGCTTTCCCATAGCAGCGGGGGACTCAATTTACAAATGGAACACACTCAACAGGAAGTGAAACATGTTCTGCTTCCAAGGCAAAGTTCACAAACCAAAACCCCTACTTCCGTGTTTGCAGCGTTCTTAATCCAAGTTGTTCATAAGCGAAGCTGTTCTTAAACCAAGGTACCACTGTATACTGCAGGAAAGAGCCAATGGGAGGAAAACATGTCTCTGTGCACGGAGATACATGGTGTGTCTGTTCCCTTTCAGTGGTCAGTCCCCTACAGGGGGAAAGGCAATAAGTTTTGCTCTCAATACAACTGTCTCCAAGAGCAGTGTTTTGCATCTCTTCTCTTAGGTGTGATCCTGCACTGCAGAGGGTTGAACTAGATGAACCTTGGGTGTCCCTCCCAACCCTACATTTCTGATTCCAGCCCTACCCCTACACTGAGAAACTAGCATTGGGGAGGTGTCTGCTCAATGACACCACAGGTGTGGTAGCCTTCCATTTGCTCCTAATTTCATGGGAGGCACAGATTTTGCCAAGAGTCTTGCAGTCCACGACGGCCCAATGTAAATAGCACCGTGGTGGCACTGGGACCTACAGTTATTCCCACATCACTAAGATGGTGCACAAAATATCTCCCCATGTGATTCAAGTGGCTTTCATGGTTCCAAACCACTCACAAGGGCTTCCCAGTTTATTATCACAAACGCTACCTGCTATCTGCACAGCATCATTTTAGTTTCTGACCATACTTGCATTCCTTTTCATGCTTTTCTTGATACAGCGGTACCTCGGTTTTTGAACGCCTTCGTAGACAAACATTTCGGAACTCGAACGCCGAAAACCCAGAAGTAAGTGCCTTGGTTTTCGAATGCGCCTCAGAGCTTGAACAGGAAATGTGGCTTCCGTTTTGAGTTTTCGGTATTAAGGCTTCCACTTTCGGTTTTTGAAAGTTTCGGAACTCAAATGGACTTCCGGAACAGATTATGTTTGAAAACCGAGGTACCACTGTATTTATCTGAAGTCCAGTTCCCAGCATTAAGCACACAAGATGACCCTGCTGGGTTATATCATGTCCATCTCATTTTCCAACTATGCCTAGCCAGATCCTTGACGGAAGCCCAAAAGCAGAGCATGCGGACAACAGAGCCTCTCTCTGTTCCAGTTCTCTGATACTGATCACTCTATCCTCTGAGAATCTGCCAAAGGCAGTGACCATCAGCACTGCTATACGATGTGCTAAAGGCCCGTCCATGGCTTAGACGGTTTCAAAAGTGAAATCTAAAGACAGATATATCAATGATCAGTAGCCATGGTAACTAAATGGAACCTCCATGTTCAAAGACCGTATACCTCAGATTTTCAGGTGCTTGGGACATAGTGAGAAAGTCTGTTGCTTACATGCTCTGCAGAAATCTAGCTGGCAACTGTTGTAAATGGGATGCTTGATTAGACGGATATTTGGTGTAGTCCAGCAGGACTCATTTTATGTTCTTTTAAAGTTGGGAGCTGGCTTTCAGATACAGTGGTACCTCGGATTAAGTACTTAATTCGTTCTGGAGGTCCGTTCTTAACCTGAAACTGTTCTTAACCTGAAGCACCACTTTATCTAATGGGGCCTCCCGCTGCCACCGCACCGCCGGAGCACGATTTCTGTTCTCATCCTGAAGCAAAGTTCTTAACCTGAAGCACTATTTCTGGGTTAGCGGAGTCTGTAACCCGAAGTGTATGCAACCTGAAGCATATGTAACCCGAGGTACCACTGTAGACTGATGTTAGTCTATAACAGGTCTGCTCTCCTTCCCTGGGGGGCGGTGTTGCGGACCGGCATCCGGGACCCCCCAGTGACCTGGCTGGAGGGCCACCCACGTAATGGGTACTCCCGGCCATGTCAAACCCCCAGCCGTCCAACCGGCACAGCTGGGGGTGTGGCCGGGGGGTAACCTCCTTTCACTTTTCTTGTCATTTTGATAAGGAACAGGTATTAAAAGTCACTCACCTAATTCATTGTCCGTTGGTATTGAGATCTTTCTCAAACCCTGCCGATGCCAGTCTTTGCTTTTAGCCCGGTGTTTGCTTAGCACTTCCTGTTTCTTGGAACTGGATGTTGGTTCCTTTGCGTCTACACTTTTATTTGGACAACTAGTACATTTCTCTAAGGGTAGGTGCCTGGCTCCGCCTTCCTTTCTGGGAAGCACAGGTGGGACGGTGTCCTCTGCATCTCTCTTAGCATCTTCTCTCTGGGACTGCTGCCACCACTGCGGCCCTTGACAGGCAGCCTGTTCTCTGCATGGGTGTCTGATAGTTGGTGGAGATGGAGGGCCTCGCTGGAAAAAGTGAATTGGGTTGGTGAATGCTATAAGTGAAGGTCGCATTGGACTTCTGGCCTCTGCAACTTCAGACATTTTCTGACTCCTTACTGAGGGATGGAGGCTGTATTTATTTGATGACTTCCCATCGCATATATCCATAGTATCAGGAATGTTGCAGGAGGAGTCTTCCACTGGCCCACTGTTTCCCGAAATGCCAACATCTGGGTGTATCTCCAATAGACTGGATGCTTCGTGTATATTCCTGCTCTTCTGGCCTTGTGAAGTACCTGCCCCTTCTGAATTGGCCAACTGTACAACAGGGAATTCTTCAACTCTGCTGTCTATGTTTGGAGCATGGGCAAGCTTTTCGGCTTCAGCAGCATAGGTCTGAGAGATGCAGTCGGCAACAAACACACAACCACCCCCATCTATATAGTTAATAGGTAGAGTAGACTCTGGTGCTTCAACTGGTTGTTGGGCAAACTGATCACTATCAGGAGCTGGAGGCATGTTGGAGCTGGAAGCTGGATGTGGAAGCTGAAGGTCCCTGTTAACAGTAAAGGCTGTGGGGTTGGAGTTAAACTCAAGAGCTACAGATTCCCTGGTTTGGCTAGAGTTTGCTAGTTGAATGGGGTGATCGGCAGGAAACACCAAATCAGAATGGAGTGGATGTGGCATATGTTGGTTGGAATTGCATTCCGTCGCTGGGGGCTGATTAAATAGTTCATTGTCAGGTGTCGGGACTGAAGACTGTGGCGCCTTAATGGCAGTGGACTTTAGGGCTAAAAACTGGCAAGCTTGACTGGGAGAGGGCAGTTGTTCTAGGAGCTGACTGGGCTGACTGGGTGCAAGAGCAGAAGTGAGGGGCTGAGCAAGGGTGTCTGCATTAGGTGCAGGGCTTAAAAACTGAGCAGACTCAGTTGGCATGAACTGATTTAAGTGGCCGGAAGCAGGCTCTGGAGGAATGGCCTTATCCGAGGCAGGTGTTGGGGTCAAAGGCTTTGTTGGCTGAGCCACATTTGGGGTCTCCGTGTTGCCACATGCTGTTCCATCCTCTTCAAGAACTAATGAACATGGTGACTCACTGATTAAAGTTTGTTGTTCCATGCAATGTGTATCTGCTCCCGCTTCCTTTTCTGGAATCTCAAGGCTCCTCATTGGGGTTTCCAGATAACTTATGGTAGTGTCTTGTGCCTGGAATGATTCTGGATCAGGGCTGAATTCTACACTCTGTCTGTCTGTGTTGGACAAACCCTCCCCTGATGGTATACTTTGAAGGATCTCAGAAGCAGTACCCTGGGCAACTTCATATAAGTCTTTACCAGATATGTCATTTTTGCTGGAAGTCCAGATGTCTGCATCACTGCTCAGTACTTCTCCACAATCCATTCTGTTCAGCTGACATGGCTTAAGCAGATTCTGGTTTTCTGGCTCTTGTGTAGATTCTGATTCTTTACATGGCACAACAGTACCATCTCTGGCTCTCTTGCCAGCACCTTCCTCCAGAGAATCTGTCTCTGTTGAGGTCCCCAGTGATGAGGCAGTGATATGGATTTCACCATCAACAGGGTGATCCACAGGCTGAGAATCATACAGATAAATCTGTGAATCAGGAGTTACTATTAAATCTCTACAGGATGGTGGTCTTCCTTCGCCATCAAGACTCACAACACTTGTCTCTTCACCACCATATTTGCTGTCCTCTCTTTCAATAGCTCTTCCATCTTCCTCAGGGGGTTGCTCACTGCCTTGGCTATTATGGCCAACTTGATCAAAGACGCCAGAAGATTCCAGTTGTCTAGAATCATGGCATGTTGGAGCCTGTGTCCTTGGGCTCTCACACACTGGGATACCTTCAGATATTGACATAGCTCTTGCCTTTGCTATTTGTGGATTACCAGAGTCCTGCGTCCAGACTGACTTTGGACTGTGATTTGGAGATAAGAGCTCCTTGAAAGTGAAATTAGATGCTTCGGCCTCAACCAAAGAACAGTTCTTGTTTAAATCAGGAAGATCCACGTTCATTTGCAGTGCGTTTAAACCTAGTGGGGCAGTTATCTCTCTCTCTACCCCTTGCTTTGATGCTTGCCTTATCTGCACACAACAGTCTTGTTGTTCCTGACCTTTGTGTCTCAATTCTAGATTATTCTGCTCTGTTTCCACTTTTTTCTCCATTCCCTTCCATTCCAGGCATTCCTCATTTAGTTCAGTGTCTACCAACTCTGTTGGGTCCAATTCTGCAGGCCCTGCCTCCAATGATTTTGATACCTGAGATGATTCTGCTTCATCACAATCAGTAGCATGCTTGGTTTTAACCGTCTCCTTTAGTGAACGAGTCTTGCTTCCTCCTATGACATCCTCCTCCTCAAGATGGAGGACAGTGCAAATAAATGAATTTTGTCCCGATTTTTCCACTTCCTCTCCTATATCTGAATTATTGTCTACTCTATTGGAGACTGGCAGAGACAAAATTTCATTAGGCTTTGGTTGTTGCACATCAGAATGTATTTCCCCACCCTCTAGAAAATTCAAAACTTGGCTGGAAAAGTGCAGAAGATTTCACACCCTCTCTTTGTCCCTTTTAACTCTCTTACTTTCCCCTCTTCATTCACTATGGAGGTATCTGGGTGCACCTGGCCAGCTCCTTCGGTCTTAGGGGACATCTTCTCATCAATCTCCGATGTGACTTCCATATTTGGCATATGGCTCTTGTCTAGTTCATATTGAGACTCTAGTTCCAATGAGTGATTTTCATCTGATCTGCATTTGGAAGGCTCAGCATTCTGGTGATGCTCTGAAACATCATGACTCACCGGGGGATAGTCATAGGCTGATTCCTCACTAGCAGAAAAAGTGCCTGTTGAATGTGTTTCCTCACACAGTGTCTGAGAAAATGCATCACGAGGGTTCAGAGCTTGGGGAAATCCAAGAACAAGGGTTTCACCTTTGATCTCTTCCACCGCGACCTCACTGGGAATACTTGAGATCTGTTCAAGAGTTGCTGTACTGAAAAGGGAAGATTCATGATCACTTAAGGAACGAGCAGCTTCAAGTTCTCTCTGATGGGGATCCAAAGGGGCCTCCTTGTTATCCTCCAAAGTGACTTCTTGTATATTGAGAAGATTTTCTCGCTCGGAAAATTCTCCCCAGTCCTCTGGATCTCTCTGGGCTCTTTCCAGTCCCATTGATGTCTCTCTTTCCACAGGGCTAGGGAATCTGCCCCATATCTGTTCTTCCATGACAAAGAGAAGTGGCAGGGCTTGAGAAAAAGCGTTCTTTTTATCCTCTGCTGTCACTGCCACCCTCTCTTCAGAAACATCGCCCCTGGTGAAAAATTCTGTGACATCATGCTGCCTTCTGGCTGGTGCAGGATTAGAAGGTTCATTGAATTTGTGGGTTGCTGAGGGGAAAGGATCTTCCCCTTTGATTTTTTCAGACTCCATCAGTGGCACATCCTGAAAATCAGAAGAAGAAGAATTACTATAAGGCTATGGCTGACCAGGAAATGTTACTTTTTTTAAAAAAAGAAAGATTTTTATTGGTACAACAAGAAAAAACAACAACACAAATACCAAATTACACACAAGAATAACCATAGACACATAATTTTCTTAGCAAACAATAAAACATATATTGGTCTTAACACTAAAGACCCAACCTCCCGTCTATTCCATATTTCAGTTTCATATTACTTATTGCCAATACACACTTTTATCATAATTAAACTTATTCTTAATAAATCTAATTTCTTATATCTACCTTGCAACTATTACTGAAGTTCCTCGAATGCTGCAACAGAATTTAAACTACTATATTTATTTTTCAGATATTCTTTGAAAACCTCCCATTTTGAAACAAATTCCTGTTTTGATTTATTCTTTATTTTTTCTGATAGACCATCTAATTCAGCATATTCTGTCAGCTTTTGGATCCAATCTTGTATAGAGGGGATTTCATTACTCTTCCATTTTGCTGCGATCAAAACTCTTGCTGCCGCCGTCGCATATAAAAAGATACCCTTCCTCTTTTGTGGAATATCCAAATCTGTTATTCCCAGGAGGTAGGCCTCTGGTTTTTTATTGAAAGAGATCTTTCGCATTTTTTGCAGTTCTGCATGGATACTCTCCCAGAATACCTGTATTTTCCTACATATCCACCACATATGGTAGAAAGTTCCTGAGTCTCCGCATCTACAACAATTACTTGACACATTTTTATACATTTTTGAAAGTGTTTCCATGGTGTTAGATACCATTGATGCTGTATTTTTTTAAAGTTCTCTCTAATCGCGTAACAATTTGTGAATTTCCAATTGATCTTCCATAAGTAGGAAATGTTACAGTGGTACCCCGCAAGACGAATGCCTCGCAAGACGGAAAACCCGCAAGACGAAAGGGTTTTCTGTTTTGGAGGCGCTTCGCAAGACGAATTTCCCTATGGGCTTGCATCGCAAGACGAAAGCCCATAGGGAAATGCTGGCGGTCGGGAGCAAAGACTTTCGCCCACAGCCGGCCTTCAGAAGAGGACCTCTTCTGAAGGCCTGAGGGGGGCAAAAGTCTTGCCCCCCCCCCGCCTGCCTTCCCCCGCCTGCCCCGGGCGATCTTAAAATGCTGGCGGGCGGGAGCGAAGCGTTCGCTGCCGACCCCCAGCATTTTAAAATCTCCAAGGGACAGCAGAGAAGTCTCTGTCCCGGGGAGATTTTAAAATGCTGGGGTCGGGAGCGAAGCACTGCCGACCCCCAGCATTTTAAAATCTCCCCGTGTCCCGGGAAGGTTTTAAAATGCTGGGGGTCGGGAGCGAAGCGCTGCCGACCCCCAGCATTTTAAAATCTCCCCGTGTCCCGGGAAGGTTTTAAAATGCTGGGGGTCGGGAGCGAAGCGCTGCCGACCCGCAGCATTTTAAAATCTCCCCGTGTCCCGGGAAGGTTTTAAAATGCTGGGGGTCGGGAGCGAAGCGCTGCCGACCCGCAGCATTTTAAAATCTCCCCGTGTCCGGGAGGTTTTAAAATGCTGGGGGTCGGAGCGAAGCGCTGCCGACCCCCAGCATTTTAAAATCTCCCGTGTCCGGGAAGGTTTTAAAATGCTGGGGGTCAGCAGCTTCGCTCCCGACCCCCAGCATTTTAAAACGCTGTTCCAAGCGGGGGGGGCGGGGACACCTGCCCCAGCCGCCCCACTTCGGAAAGCTGTTCCGAAGTGGGGGGGGGGCGGGACACCTGCCCCAGCCGCCCCACTTCGGAAAGCTGTTCCGAAGTGGGGAGGGGGGCGGGGACACCTGCCCCAGCCGCCCCACTTCGGAAAGCTGTTCCGAAGCGGGGAGGGGGCGGGGACACTGCCCCAGCCGCCCCACTTCGGAAAGCTGTTCCGAAGCGGGGAGGGGGGCGGGGACACCTGCCCCAGCCGCCCCACTTCGGAAAGCTGTTCCGAAGCGGGGAGGGGGGCGGGGACACTGCCCCAGCCGCCCCACTTCGGAAAGCTGTTCCGAAGCGGGAGGGGGGCGGGGACAACTGCCCCAGCCGCCCCACTTCGGAAAGCTGTTCCGAAGCGGGGAGGGGTGGCGGGAACAACTGCCCCAGCCGCCCCACTTCGGAAAGCTGTTCCGAAGCGGGGAGGGGGGCGGGACACCTGCCCCAGCCGCCCCACTTCGGAAAGCTGTTCCGAAGCGGGGAGGGGGGCGGGGACACCTGCCCCAGCCGCCCCACTTCGGAAAGCTGTTCCGAAGCGGGGAGGGGGGCGGGGACACCTGCCCCAGCCGCCCCTCTTCGGAAAGCTGTTCCGAAGCGGGGAGGGGGGGCGGGGACACCTGCCCCAGCCGCCCCACTTCGGAAAGCTGTTCCGAAGCGGGAGGGGGGGCGGGGACACCTGCCCCAGCCGCCCCACTTCGGAAAGCTGTTCCGAAGCGGGGAGGGGGGGCGGGGACACCTGCCCCAGCCGCCCCTCTTCGGAAAGCTGTTCCGAAGCGGGGAGGGGGGGCGGGGACACCTGCCCCAGCCGCCCCACTTCGGAAAGCTGTTCCGAAGCGGGGAGGGGGGCGGGGACACCTGCCCCAGCCGCCCCACTTCGGAAAGCTGTTCCGAAGCGGGGAGGGGGGGCGGGGACATCTGCCCCAGCCGCCCCACTTCGGAAAGCTGTTCCGAAGCGGGGAGGGGGGGCGGGGACACCTGCCCCAGCCGCCCCACTTCGGAAAGCTGTTCCGAAGCGGGGAGGGGGGCGGGAACAACTGCCCCAGCCGCCCCACTTCGGAAAGCTGTTCCGAAGTGGGGAGGGGGGCGGGGACACCTGCCCCAGCCGCCCCACTTCGGAAAGCTGTTCCGAAGTGGGGAGGGGGGGCGGGGACACCTGCCCCAGCCGCCCCACTTCGGAACGCTGTTCCGAAGCGGGGCGGGGGGCGGGAACACCTTCTGAAGGCGGGCAGGGGGCGAAAGTCTTTGTCCCCCCTGCCTGCCTTCCCAGGGGCTTTTAAATCGCCCCGGACAGCGGAGAAGTCCTCCGCTGTCCGGGGCGATTTTAAAATGCCGCCCGCCAGCATTTTAAGATCGCCCCGGACAGCGGAGAAGTCCTCCGCTGTCCCAGGGTTTTTTAAAATGCTGGGGGTGGGAAGAAAAGCCCTTGTCCCCCCCCCCAGCCTTCAGAAGAGCTCCGGGGACAGACTGTCCCCGGACCTGGTCTGAAGGCGGTTTCCCTAGGAACGCATTAATTGATTTTCAATGCATTCCTATGGGAAACCGTGCATCGCAAGACGAAAAAACTGCAAGACGAAGAGACTTGCGGAATGAATTAATTTCGTCTTGCGAGGCACCACTGTACATTTAAAAGCATTCAGCCACACACCTAATCAACAGGAAGAAGAAGAAGAAGAAGAAGAAGAAGAAGAAGAAGAAGAAGAAGAAGAAGAGGAGGAGGAGGAGGAGGAGGAGGAGGAGGAGGAGGAGGAGCAGTCGGAAGGGAAAGGTGGGCAGACAACCTGCATTCAGGAGTGTAAAAAGAAAAGAAAAGAAAGAGAGCAAAGAATGTGGACTCCAACTACCTGAGGCTCAAACTACCTATTATGCAGAGTTCAATGATTCTTTCCTTGACATATTTTTCTCCCCAGCCAAAACAAGCTGCAAGTCTGAACAGAATAAGGGTGAGCTCCTTTCTCACTGGTATCTTCCCAGCTTAGAATCATCATTCCAAACTTAAAAAAATGCATTGGGAATAATGATTCTAACTTCGCTTTACACCCATGGAATGAAAGATACAGAGAGGCTAAGGAGATCGCCTATTTCAACCCCTTCAATGATAATCTTGAGTTGCAGATAGCTGGAGAGGAAGGTCTGTCTCTGCACATCTTTTCTCCAGTCAGGATGCTTTGGCTTAAAAGCAATAAGGATGAAAGAATCATGAAACTCTTTCAGGATCAGGTTCTTGCTCTGCAGTCTCAGGTTTCTTGTTTGAAAAAAATCTTAAACATACATGAGCATTTATTGAAATCTCAGAAGCCAGAAGGATGGCTGATGGTTTCTAGTAGTTGGGGTGGTGCTTCCACGAGCCTTGCATAGCTCTCTATCCTTCCCCCAAATCAGATAATTTATGTAAATTCACACAACTTATTCAGAAGGGTCATTCCACATCAAATCAACGCAAAAAAACAAGGGTTTCGCCACCCACCGTCTCAGATTTTGACGAAACTTGGTGTATACCCTTCCCTTATGGTTGAAAGAAACCTCCTTAATTTTTCCCCCTCTATCTCAAACAGTTTTAATTTTACAGCACTTCAAAGTTTCATGAAATCTGTGTTTCTGTCCCTCTTGAGATCTTCGGCCTTGGGTGCATTTTATTTTCCCCCCTCCATAACCAATGATCAGATCTCTTTGAAATTTTGCACAGAGATCAATAAAATGATGAGTATTTCAGGGGAAAAATACACCAGCACACAAAAGATTTTATAAATGCCTTAAAAAATGTATAAATGTAGCTTCTTCAGTGGAAATACTAGGTTTAGAAAACCTAAATTTTCAGCGTCAGGGCACAATGCAATCAGAAGATTTTGATGGTGAAAAATTTGCAAAGACATGCTCTTTCTCAACAAAGAATAAAATTTATGGGTCTCTTATGTCTTGGAACAAAATTTTAGGGGGAGGCCATAACACCACCACCAGGGACACGGGTGGCGCTGTGGGTTAAACCACAGAGCCTAGGACTTGCCGATCAGAAGGTTGGCGGTTCGAATCCCCACAAAGGGGTGAGCTCCCGTTGTTCGGTCCCTGCTCCTGCCCACCTTGCAGTTCAAAAGCACGTCAAAGTGCAAGTAGATAAATAGGTACCGCTCTGGCGGGAAGGTAAACGGCGTTTCTGTGCGCTGCTCTGGTTCGCCAGAAGCGGCTTAGTCATGCCGGCCACATGACCCGGAAGCTGTACGCCGGCTCCCTCGGCCAATAAAGTGAGATGAGCGCCACAACCCCAGAGTCGGTTACGAC